AATAATCCTAAAAATTATTTTTTAGTAAAGGCGATACTTTAAATCAAGTTTCCCGTAATATCTTTTAGTATTTTTGTGTATATACATTTAACAAGAGATAAACGAAAAAATTGGTAAAGTTACATGAAATACTTCGTTCAAATTTCTAATTAAATATTCTCCAATTAGCCAAGGAGAGCTCACTAGATATTCATCAATAATTAGGTAACGTACATCTACAGCGTATAGCTACAAGCACTAAAAAATTGAAGGAGGTTTCTAGTACAAAGTATTAAAATTTGTAGAAAAATAATTAAAATTTTTGTTAATTTGATAGAAACATTTCATATGTTTCATCTTAAGTGCAGAAAATTGGCACTATAAAAATTTGTTTCTAGTAGTTCTAATATCTCATCTCCCCACACAATTGCCAGACGTCAACAAACGATAGTGCGATCACATGACATCCAGCCGTTGGCCTCTTTGTATTAAATTGATGCACAATCCGATAGTAAAAAAGGCTTAATATGCATAACTGATAATCAGATAAGATGCAATAAAAAGATTAAGGATATCATCATTGGTCTCCTTAGCCGATCGTCCTAAAATATCCAAATGATAATCACGCTAGTGCAAAACAATGTAACAAGTCATATATTAATGTTTATACAATAATAAAATTTCTAAAGCCATAAAGTATTTGAGGGGGTTCGGTTCCAAAAATATTTTCTATTAATTCGGAGTATTATAATTTTCAGTTGAATACGATTTAAAAATTGTTTTTACATTTGTTTGTTGAATGCTCATTAGCGATAAAAATAATTAAACAAAATAGGATGATACACATCTAATAGAACTAGGAACATAAAAAACCACGAAAACTATTTATATCGTAGGGGATAGAAAAGTGATTATTTTAAAGCGATAAAATCTGTAAAACAGTTTTATTCAGAAATGTACGGTATGTTAAAACGTGCATTTTTTGCAGAATTTTTTTTCAACGTTGCGTTTCAATATGTATACAGTATGTATTTGTATAAAAACAAAAATCATTAGTGACAGAAAAGAAAATTATTTGCGGAACGTAAGCATATTATAACATAACGTATATATTAATGAGCTGTCAGTAATTTCCGCATTTTGACCGTAAAATATGCATTTCCAATTAAGGATGCCTTGAGTACTTCGCAAAATTATGTTCATAATTTTATTGAACATCTTCAATTCATCAAAAAAGTTCTGCAAAAATATTCGCCGGTGTAAACCTACGCACCTCTAGGCCTTACTATATAATCCGATCTCTCCGTGTGATTAAATACGTTTTATAAAAAAGACGGATATCTTTAAATATAAGACTTGATATTTCTAAATATATGCAATGACTCACCGTTATTGCTAGTTAAAAATTTAGTTTGCAAATTTCTCTTTCCCTAAAAGCCTACCAGGAAGAAACTGAAAGTATGTAGAACTGGCTATTTAGAAACTTTGCCAATGAAAACGTCTTTTAAATTTTGAATATATAAATAATAATGTGATATTATATTGCATTGATTTGTAACTACTTTTGTAATTTGGCGTCAATTCCAAAAGTAAAAGATGTAACAAATCTGAAAATGAAATTAACATGAGAAAATTTTCGGTTCATTCTCGTTGTGGTCTTACTTGGCATTTAATATTGGAACCCCATTCCTTACCACTTCTTAAAATTGGTTTAATGAGTTTCAGCTTGGGCATAACAAACTCAGTGATGGTTTGCGTGAGGGACGTCCTTCATCAGCGACATCAGAAGAAAATATCAGTGCTATGCGACGCATTATATGTGGGGTGCACTAAATGTTTCTGGAATGAAAAATACTATTGAAGGACTAAAATGAATTTATTGTATCTCAAAATAATCTCTGAGAGGCTCATCTGACTGTCATTGACAGTCAGATGAGCCTCTCAGCCAGCTCAGTGGCTAGAGCGTCAGGCCGCGAATGCCGAAGACGAGGGTTCGATTCCCCACAGCGGCGACAATCTTTTCGTCCTTTTCTACATGTTTTAAGGATTTATAAACCCAATTAAGAGAGAACAAAACTTATGTACCCTAGAAATAATAATAAATTTATTTGTCCATAGGTTTTACAAAACAATAATAGACAGTGCGTTTTTTGGGGAAAAATTAGAGGCTGTTTAGGCTTAGCTTCTTTTCTAGGTTCAACATTTACAAAATTTTATTCTTATTTTATTTTAAGACTTTTTTAACTAGATTGCTAGTAGTTATGGTATTATTTTTTTCTGGTCGTTCATAATTTTCCTTACACTTACTAAGCAAATTAAAAAAAAATGTACTTGTATGTGTATGTAACTTTAAAAAATAATAATTAGGGACATTTTAGTACCTTGAGAGTCATCCAAATTTTGATTATTCTCTTATTTATTTGATTATTTTGCTTGGGATGACTTCAGTACGAGATTTATTACTAATTTAATATTAAACCATCTGCTCCCGCTGCTGCTTTTTCTTCTACTGTATGCAGAACCGAAAGATACCCAGATATGGTACTCCTTCCAATATTTTATAGCAATTCTTAAGTTTATGAATAATGCTTAACATCCGTATATGTTATTTCTCAACTGTTTTTTTTTTCGTGCCGGACTTGCATGGTACGAAGGTGAAAAAAACAGTTGAAAAATTCCTCCCCATAGATAACGTTCGTATGAACGCATGTGCGGACCTAATTGGGAAAAATTCTATATGAATTCACGCCACCTTGTGGGTAGGTAGGTAGGTGGGATATGCGGGAGTTCCCGAGGACTATAATATACCTATAAATAATCACTTAAAACCCGAGTTTCACCTGCACTGTCGCCGGGGACACGAAAACGCAATTTTCCAAAAACCGTGGCGCGAATTTGGCCTCCTTCGGCCTCCTCACTCGGGTGCTAGGACCCCGGTCCAGCCACATGGTGCCGAGTCGGTGCAATGTGTCCATTGAGCCACCTCTTGAGCCCTCCGCGGTGCAGCAGTTAATCGCACACCAGCCGCCCCGGGGCTCGCTATCAGGGGGGAAGGTTGCGCGCGTAGCCTCCTCCCTCCTGCGTCCTAGTCTCCGGTGGTGGATTTCCAGGGTGAAAGTTGCCTGTCTTTCTCTCTCCGCGGCCTCCTTCCGGGTGATTATGTCCTCGCAGAATGCAAGGACGGCCACGTCATCTTGCTTTCCACCATAGCGCGAATTACGGCGGGCAGCGTGAGCGTGCCCCACGTCCTCGGCGCTGCTCCCGCCATGCCGAGCGCTCCTTCAGTGCGTGTTGGGCCGTCTCATCGACACACACGTCGCGGTGGTGGCAAAAAGTAACAACCTATACATGTCCCACTGGCAAAGGCAAAGGCCTCCGACATACAAAGGGTATCAGGGCATAGTCCACCACGCGGCCCCACTGCGGACTGGCGGACTTCACATATCTTCGAAATATTTTTTTTTGTTATTATGTCGAAAATATGCAGGTTTCCTCACGATGTTTTCCTTCACCGCGGAGCACGTGATAAGACAGCACTTAAAGTTAAAAACTTCATTGGTGCCGGCATCGGGGATCGAGCTCAGGTTGCTCGAGTAGATTAAATTAAAGGTGAGCGCCAGGACACTGAGCTATCACGGCTCTATACATCTATAATAATATAACATCTCAAACACTGATGCTATGAAAAACAGCTGATTCTAAAAATTTAATATCTAACCACAGTGGTGCCAATATCTTTTAAAAATCTTTTATTGATGGTTACTGGCACCATAGAAATAAGTTTTACATGTAAAAGATAATCATATGAAAATTCCTTATTGGTTTGAAAAGATGAGCTTATGTCAATATCCGCATGGTATGGTTTTGGACACTGATAAATAAAACATTTTTTATATTTTTTAATTAAGCGTAATGAGTACTTCAATTGATAATTTCGAGAAGAGAAATGCATTAACGAGAATATTTTCAAGAATGTTTGAAAATAACATCAAATAATATTTTTTCATATCTGATTATAGACATCTTATCTTGAGAAATTACACATGTGTCTTGTCTGTCGTATATATACGGTGGATAACACTGTTGTGGCCAAAAAAACCCTATCTGAAATGCGTGCCTTTATTCTGCTGTTGACCATAGGCATTGCTACGGTTGCGGGTGATTAAGATTTTAAATTATTTAATTATGTAAGCTTAAGTAACAAAAGTAGTAATACTCGATGTGTTTATTATGTGATTTATTAAGAATATGTATTGAGTATTACATACGTAACCAAAAACTTATTATTCTGTTTTTTAATGGAATTTGTTTTTCTTTTAAAATCGAAAAGTTAATTCTTTTTATTATTTTTTTTCATTTTAAGGTCTGTAGTTTAATTGAATGGTATGGCATTATTTTTTGATGTTATCGTAGCAAGCTCAGAAAAAAAGCATATAAATTTGTGTTTTACATAAAAGTTTGAAAATATCTCATAATGTTTTCTATACTAATTATAATTGCACTTTGTGATTCCAGCCGCTCCTAACAATCCCCAGAGGATTGTTGGTGGATCTGTGACCACAATCGACCGATACCCATATGGCGCTGCTCTTCTTTATTCGTGGCTCGGGGGATTTTTCTCTCAGTCATGTGGTGGTACCATCTTGAACAACAGATCTGTTCTATCTGCTGCTCATTGTTTCGCGTAAGAACCTTTAGTTATTTTCTTCTTTTCGTGTAGATGGCAATACCTATTCACACGGTATCGGCCCAAAATTCAGCCACAAGAATCGCACTGTCAGTAGCTTTAATCAGGTCATTTTGAAAGAATGTAACATAATTAAAGAAAATTTCATACGTTGTGCGCTATAATTCATTTTTAGATAAACGTAGACTGACGTTTTACGTGAGCTGTTAGAATTAATGATTATCCACCTAAAATAATATTTTTCAGCGGTGACCCTCCAAGTCGATGGCGCATCCGTGTTGGATCTACATGGGCCAGCAGCGGGGGTGTAGTCCACAATACGGCCAATATAATAATGCATCCAAGCTACAATTCACGCAGTCAAGACAATGACGTAGCCGTTTTGCGTTCAGCGAACACCTTCTCATTCAATAACAATGTTCGCGCTGGCAACATTGCGGGCTCTAATTATAACCTGGGTGACAATCAAGTAGTATGGGCTATCGGATGGGGCACAACTTCTGTAAGTTACTAAAAATGTTGAAATTCATGTACTCAATCATAATCATGTTTGTATTAGTGTTATCAAATTAGTTTGTCAAATTATCTAATTAGATAATGTAAACTTATCTAATTAGATAATGGTTTATTCGTTAATGAAGTCGAATAATCATACTCTTTGGGTTTTTCAGCTATGATTTGTTTTAAATATTAGCAAAAACATTTAACAATTTAAGCAAAAAATGAAATGTGAAATTCACTACATACTCGAAATATTATCTTTGAAACTGGATTGCAATTCACGTGTTTTATTTTGAAAATTTATTATTTTCAGTCCGGCGGGCCTCCCTCTGACCAACTGCGGCACGTACAAATCTGGACCATAAATCAGGCTATATGTAGACAACGTTACGCGACGGTCGGCAATACTATCACTGACAACATGTTGTGCTCCGGTTGGCTCGACGTTGGCGGTCGCGACCAGTGTCAGGGTGACTCTGGCGGTCCACTTATCCACAACAACGTCGTCGTTGGTGTCTGCTCTTGGGGGCGTGGCTGTGCACAAGCATTCTTCCCCGGTGTTAACGCCCGTGTATCCCGTTTCACAAGTTGGATTCAAGGAAATGCTTGAATGCCAATAACATAATTCGGGCTTTTATTCGTCTTTTGAGTTGTTAGTTAACGAACGTTGAATGAATGAATACTTTTTTTAAACGAACGTTCTAAATAATGGAAAAATATATTTTGTAATTTTTGATCTTTATATAATATATCATTAAAAGTATACATATTAATGCTATTAGGGCCTTAGGGGTTATATTTAATACGTTAAGTTCTGATATCATTATCCTCAAAAGAACAAAATTTTATTCTATTATCAATATCGTCCACGTGAAAAGTATTTTTTTTACTAGCAGGCAGATCCCAATCTGAATTCTCCAAAACTTCTAAAAGTTGTTTCTTCTAGAAGTTGTTGCGTGGCTCTGCCACAGAGAAAAAAGATGTGTTTTTTATGTGAACTGGTGGCAAACGAGCTTGCGGTTCACCAGATATTAAATGATAACCGCCGCCCATTAACATATGCAACACACATTGGATTGCAGATGCGTTCCCACCTTTTAATGTAGTGGGCCCCGGCTACCTCATTCACCAGGCGAAAGGCAGAAGTATAATCTTCCACTTCGCGCCGATCTTCCGTGAGATCGTGGTACTTAACCGGACGGACCAGCCTATTCTTGCAACAGCGAAGGCTATTGCATGGTAATACCACGCAATAGTCTGCTGTTGTTTAGTTAAAAAATTGGAATTTTAGTGAATTATTTTATCTGCATTAGAATTAGAATTACTACAGTAATTATGGATTATGACACGTAATCAAATAAATGTTTTAAGGTAATTAATAATGATAACTAAGTCTTTAAAATTATTTGTTGAGTTTCGTATACACTGTACTTAATTTTTTCTTCAAGGACCTGCTAATATTTCAGGACACATTTTTACACAACTTTCTCTAGTCCCAAACTTAGCAACTCTTATACTATGGGAGGAAAACTGATAAGCATATTTAAACATAGTTTTATTTTGTGAATGAATGTGGTCTGAAGCGAAATTAAGGTGTTAGGGAAAAACTTACTTGAAAAGCGTATAATGCTGGATGCCAAACATAAAACAAGTATCGATGTTATAAATTAAAAAAATTAGGCAAATCGCCTGCAAAGCTTTAGGTTAGCTATAGGTTTCCCGAGGGATTTTTAGTTCTATACCCATCAATGTATCAGTTAATAGAAAATGATTGTTATTATTACTCTAGATAGCAAATTAAGAGGCCTCTGAGTTTTGGAAATTGCTCTTTCGCACATGAGTTTTTATGTGTCATAGATCAATCGTCATTTGTGATAGGTTGCGGTTAGGATTTCAACAACTTCAAGTAGAACAAGAAGTTCAACTTCAGAAATAATCGTGTTTCACCTAGAATTTAAATAACATGGCCAGTTTGTGTGTGTTAGTCGGTATAGTAATCGAATTTAGTGTACACCTATAATTTTGGATTTAACATCGTGAATATTGGCACTACAAAATGCTATGAGTAAAAAACTTAAAGAACTTGACATTACAACAGAATAAACGCAAACGTTGTACATATTGTTAGTCTAGCTAAGTGTATGGATTATATAGATTATTTCGCTATAATAAAACCCACAGACGCATTAAATTAGCGAACAGACGTGAATTAGTGCAGTAAACCGATATGATCTTGTTATTAGTATGCATTTAGTCAAAGTAATGTCCATCTCCTCGCCCGCGGTATGCCCTCTGTTGCAAAGGTCGATTTATAACGGCATTTTATAAATATTTAATACATACTTTTATAAACTAAAACAAAAGAGTGAACATAATTATTTGTTAGAGAAAATAAATAAAAACCATTCTAGATCATAACATTTATATATCTTAAAATAATTAATTGATTAACACATTAAAAGTAAAAATAATATAAAAATACAACCCCACTCAATGTAGGTTTGAACTTAGGACTACAGTAATAAGGTCGGTGAACAGACCATGACGCTCGGACTAATAGGTTACGCGATGTCTATGGATCTATCATAATCCAAACCGCAATTCGAATCGCAATGTCATGTGCATTGTTAACAACTCTAAACACAAAATACTGATCAACGAACTCAACGAAGAAACGGTAATGCAAGTAATAATAGACACGTATCATTGACATTTGACACAATGTCAAACACGTTAACGCGTTCCATGATTTTTTCATGTATTATTTTTTTTCGGAAATGAAAAAAAAAAAACTATTTATAAGATTTGAAAACATTCGGGACGGACCTGCCTGACGAGCCTGCTGCGTGACCCTACCACCGTAAAGTAAATAAGTAAAGTTGACAAATTCATCTTTTATTTATTAACATTTTGAAATAACAACTGACAAGTTCAGAGAGGTTAAAATACATATTTATACGTCTTTCTATTTTTCTTCAAATTTTTGACTAAAAATTATATACATTTCATTACCTATCCATTTAATCAAATATCTGTCGTCCATTGTATATTATTTTCAGTTTCTATGTATGTACTTTTTTATAATTTATTTAGGTGGAGTGGCGAAGCTACGCTAGTGTCAATATCATCTCTCTTTTATTCGTGTTATTAAAAATAAAGGAACATCGTAAATAAGCGACATATTCCAAATAGTAAATATTACTTAAAACTTTAAAAATATTACTTGTAAAGCTCTCTTTGCTGTTTTGAATTATAATTACAATATAATTCTTATGTTCAACTCCTTTAAAATCAGTGAATTAGGTAGCAAAAGCTATTGTTCCATCCATCTCCATAGATTGTCAAAAAGGAGAAATATCCCCTTTTTGGCATTCTACGTACATATTCAATAGATTATGTTTCTACACTGGGAAAAAAGTGGGAAAAAACTAGGCCAATAATTGTCACCCAAACTACAATGGACAAAAAAATAAATAAATAATTAGAAACAAAAAAAGTTAAACGAATCACTTCTAACCAAAGACCACAACCATCCACTCCACCCACTATACACGAAAGGCTAATAGAACTTAAATAAGTAATATCTGAAATTAATTAAGGTATAATAGGTCTGGCTGAGGTCAGCAGGTTAGGCTACAGAAGAAGACGGTTACCATACATTCTGTTTATTCGGATTCAAATCCATACAAAAAATGACAATTTAGACCTTACATAATAGTCTTTAGGCGCTTAAAGAAGTTTAGTGCAAACGGGTGCTCGACTAATAGGAGTAGGTAAATTATAGAACAAAAGCTCATTGTATATTTAACTATATTTTTAAATACAAGAAAAATTGTAGTGGTCGGGACGCCGTCTAGAAATAGAGGCTTATTGAATTCAGAGCGCATATATTACATTGCAGATTTAGACGGCTGATTTTTAACCTCTTTTGACCACACTTTTCAACAGAATACTAGAAGAAATAAGACTTCCAGGCGTGTGGGCGAAATCGGACGTTATCACAACATAGTAAAAAAAAGTCGTCCCCCTGTCTGTCCCTATGTATGCTTAGATCTTTAAAACCACGCAACGGATCTTGATGTGGTTTATTTTACTAGATAGAGTGATCCAAAAGGAAGGTTTATATCTAAAATACATTGCACCTATGCGAAGCCGGGGCGGGTCGCTAGTTCTCTTATATAAAGAAGGAAACCCCATGGTTATTGGCAATTACAGGGCATTAATCAGCTTACAAATCTATACAAGCTTTTTGCTTTGTGCGTGGGGCGTCTCGCGGTGTATATGAAAATACATCAGCCGGTAAAGCAAGCGGGCTTCAAAAACTACTAAACTAACTAAACAGTAAACCGTAGATCACATTCACTCTCTAGAGCTAGTGATAGAGTAGTTTGAGGAAATAAAATTCCGCTCCACCTAGCGTTTATAGACTACGCCAAAGCGTTCAACTCCATTTCCCACAACAACTTGTAGAGCAGCAGAGCTTTAGAAGAATGGTACCAAAGATATGTACAAAAACAGTAAAAGTAGAGTAATACTATATAAAACAGGGACTGAATTTGACATTAGTAGAGGCGAAGGTCTAGGTGACCCTTTGTCACCAAGGATATATGTTTATAACCGTACTGCAAAGCGTTATGAAGAATCTGAAATGGGTAAACAAAGGCATGTAAACATAATTTTTCTAAGCAATCTAAAATTCACAGATAATATTCGCATTCTTTCTGCAGAAAGTGCCTCAAGCTTGATGCACTTTCTGCAGAAAGAAGCTAGAAAATTAGTCGGCTTGCAACAGAACAAAAACAAATATATTGACAATCAATAAAAAAATCACCATAAGCGTTGACAAGGATCCTCTGGAATATGTTGAAGAGTACATTTATCTAGGCAAGCAAATACTTTTCAAAATATCTAGACACCGAGATGAACTGACTAGTTGTGTGAACATAGTCTGGAACAAATTTTGGTGTTTTAAAGAAGTTCTTAAGTCCAACATTCCTGTAAGACTGAAGAGTACTAGACTCTTGACTACCGCCCGGTCTTTCTTATGCATCAAAAACATTGATATACCCCAAAATACACCGAATATAAACGACGTCACACGGTAGTTTGTAATAATGTTTCGATTATTATATCGTGCACCAACTACGTTATGCATCAATGTCTAAACAATACACACGTATACAGGGTATAAAGTACAGGAACCTTGTTAGGACTTTTACTTTCCCTATATGATTAAGTTTAGTCATTGGTCAATGGTAGTTAAATGGTCAACTTCCCAGAAACGACGACGGCCGTGAAACTTTCCCTTGGTAGTAGAAGCGGGCGGTGTGTATAAAGGGCAGGGACGTAATCAACGCCAGCTTATAACTCGCGCTTACTAGGAATTCTTAGTTTATGGGGGATAATTGCAAACCCCAATCCCCAGCACGTAGAAGTTTTAACGGGTCGCCCGGCCAGGACATATAAGGGCATCACAGACCTGTTTTTACTACTAGGTACTACTTTATTGTACACAAAGAGACATAACGTATTTATAATTAAAATACACGTGGGTACAACAGGCGGCGTTATCGCTTAGACAGCGATCTCTTCCTGGCAATAGGGTAG